GTAGTTAATGTAATCCTTGTACTATACTGTTGTATTAAACACATTAGTGTGTAGTTAATGTGATCCTTGTACTGTACTGTTGTAGTAAACACATCAGTATGTAGTTAATGTGATCCTTGTACTGTACTGTTGTATTAAACACATTAGTGTGTAGTTAATGTGATTCTTGTACTGTACTGTTGTAGTAAACACACCAGTGTGTAGTAAATGTGATCCTTGTACTGTACTGTTGTATTAAACACATTAGTGTGTAGTTAATGTGATCCTTGTACTGTACTGTTGTAGTAAACACATCAGTGTGTAGTAAATGTGATCCTTGTACTTCTTTAGCCAAGTGCAGCTCAGCAAATGCTGAATTTGGATAAAAATAAAGAAAATGGTGACACCAAATCAGAAGAGAAAACATCAACGCCTCCCATTGGTGACAGTTTCGGCTTGAGGCTTGACCAATATGCAAAGAAAAATGCGTACATGAAGGTACATAATTTAATAAAGCTTTTAGCACCACTTGTTTTTATTCAGTTATAATTTATTTCATTTTAAGATTATTACAGTAATTTTCACAAAGTAATATAAGCAATACTATAGTAATCACAATATTAAAGTAATAGTAATAAAAGGTATAATTTCAATAGTATTACAAGTCAAAAAAATATATCATAAAAATTATTTTATTACTAACTTTTTGTCATTAGTTTCTCCCTTGTTCTTATTACCAAGTGATTTGTAGATGTTTTTAAGCTACTAAATGCAGTTGAACTTTAAAAGAGCAAGTAAATCTTAAGATACACATTATAACTGATAGATTATTGGCAGGTAAGAATTTACATAAATATCAGAAATTGGAAATTTAATGGAAGCCTGATATATAGTAGTAATGTTTCTGGAAGCCTTGTATATAGTAGTAGTGATCTTTCTGGAAGCCTTGTATATAGTAGTAGTGATCTTTCTGGAAGCCTGATATATAGTAGTAATGTTTCTGGAAGCCTCGTATATGGTAGTAGTGATCTTTCTGGAAGCCTGATATGTAGTAGTAGTAATGTTTCTGGAAGCCTGATATGTAGTAGTAGTAATGTTTCTGGAAGCCTCGTATGAAGTAGTAATCTTTCTGGAAGCCTGATATGTAGTAGTAATGTTTATGGAAGCCTCGTATGTAGTAGTAATCTTTCTGGAAGCCTGATATATAGTAGTAATGTTTCTGGAAGTCTGATATGTAGTAGTAATGTTTCTGGAAGCCTGATATGTAATAGTAATGTTTCTGGAAGCCTGATATGTAGTAGTAATGTTTCTGGAAGCCTGATATATAGTAGTAATGTTTCTGGAAGCCTGATATGTAGTAGTAATGTTTCTGGAAGCCTGATATGTAGTAGTAATGTTTCTGGAAGCCTGATATGTAATAGTAATGTTTCTGGAAGCCTGATATATAGTAGTAATGTTTCTGGAAGCCTGATATGTATTAGTAATGTTTCTGGAAGCCTGATATGTAGTAGTAATGTTTCTGGAAGCCTGATAGGTAGTAGTAATGTTTCTGGAAGCCTGATATGTAGTAGTAATGTTTCTGGAAGCCTGATATGTAGTAGTAATGTTTCTGGAAGCCTGATATGTAATAGTAATGTTTCTGGAAGCCTGATATGTAGTAGTAATGTTTCTGGAAGCCTGATATGTAGTAGTAATGTTTCTGGAAGCCTGATATATAGTAGTAATGTTTCTGGAAGCCTGATATATAGTAGTAATGTTTCTGGAAGCCTGATAGGTAGTAGTAATGTTTCTGGAAGTCTGATATGTAGTAGTAATGTTTCTGGAAGCCTGATATATAGTAGTAATGTTTCTGGAAGCCTGATAGGTAGTAGTAATGTTTCTGGAAGTCTGATATGTAGTAGTAATGTTTCTGGAAGCCTGATAGGTAGTAGTAATGTTTCTGGAAGTCTGATATGTAGTAGTAATGTTTCTGGAAGCCTGATAGGTAGTAGTAATGTTTTGTTTACAGAACAAAGCAGCAGCAACCATATCCCGAGAATGGACAGAACAAGAAACTTTGCTCCTGCTGGAAGCTCTGGAGATGTATAAGGATGACTGGAACAAAGTGTGCGAACATGTTGGGAGTCGTACACAGGACGAGTGTATCCTCCACTTCCTGAGATTGCCAATTGAAGATCCTTACTTGGAGGATCCTGTTTGTGGTGGGGGAGCTTTAGGTGAGATGTGAGGCAGAACTGGTAGGCACTTTTAGATCATAGGAAAACTTGCTTGGTATTCTTACATATGTCTTTTTGTGTAATGAAAGTTTATAAACATAAAGTATTTTGAATTTACTAGTTTTTTGGTTCCTGTTTAATCACATATTTAACTGTCAAAAACTGGTTAGTTAGTTGTTTTTTTTTAAATGCTGAAATACTGAGTGCGTTATACTTTTATATTATGCTAATTGAAAATATTTATGTTCAGGGCCCTTGGCTTACCAACCAATTCCATTTTCTAAGGCTGGGAATCCAATTATGTCAACAGTAGCATTCTTGGCTTCAGTTGTTGACCCTCGCGTATCCTCGGCAGCAGCTAAGGCTGCCATGGGTGAGTTTTTTTACATTTTAAAGTAGGAATTAAATATGAGGTGATTCCTACACCTGTATTATACCTGTGACAGATAATTTAAAGGTTATGATAAAATCTAAACTTGTGCAAATTGACTATCTTTTATTACAGTGACAGATAGTCTAAAGGTTACAAGAAGATCTAGATGTATGCAAATTGACTATCTTTTATTACAGTGACAGATAATCTAAAGGTTACAAGAAGATCTAGACGTATGCAAATTGACTATCTTTTATTACAGTGACAGATAATCTAAAGGTTACAAGAAGATCTAGACGTATGCAAATTGACTATCTTTTATTACAGTGACAGATAATCTAAAGTTTACAAGAAGATCTATACATATGCAAATTGACTATCACTGCTAGAGAATGTAGTGTGAAGCTAAAGACTACTGCTAGAAATGCAGTGTAAAGCTAAATACCACTGCTATAAAATGTAGTGTAAAGCTAAAGACTACTGCTAGAAATGCAATGTAAAGCTAAAGACCACTGCTAGAGAATGTAGTGTAAAGCTAAAGACCACTGCTAGAGAATGTAGTGTAAAGCTAAAGACCACTGCTAGAGAATGTAGTAAAGCTAAAGACCACTGCTAGAGAATGTAGTAAAGCTAAAGACTACTGCTAGAGAATGTAGTGTAAAGCTAAAGACCATTGCTAGAGAATGTAGTGTAAAGCTAAAGACCACTGCTAGAGATTGTAGTGTAAAACTAAATATCACTGCTAGAGAATGAAGTGTGAAGCTAAAGACCACTGCTAGAGAATGTAGTGTGAAGCTAAAGACCACTGCTAGAGAATGTAGTAAAGCTAAAGACCCTAGCAGTGATCTTTAGCTTTACACTACATTCTCTAGCAGTGGTCTTTAGCTTTACACTACATTCTCTAGCAGTAGTCTTTAGCTTTACACTGCATTTCTAGCAGTAGTCTTTAGCTTTACACTACATTCTCTAGCAGTGGTCTTTAGCTTTACTACATTCTCTAGCAGTGGTCTTTAGCTTTACACTACATTCTCTAGCAGTGGTCTTTAGCTTTACACTACATTCTCTAGCAGTAGAATGTAGTGTAAAGCTAAAGACCACTGCTAGAGAATGTAGTGTAAAGCTAAAGACCACTGCTAGAGAATGTAGTGTAAAGCTAAAGATCACTGCTAGAGAATGTAGTGTAAAGCTAAAGATCACTGCTAGAGAATGTAGTGTAAAGCTAAAGATCACTGCTAGAGAATGTAGTGTAAAGCTAAAAAGCACTGCTAGAGAATGTAGTGTAAAGCTAAAGACCACTGCTGAGAATGTAGTGTAAAGCTAAAGATCACTGCTGAGAATGTAGTGTAAAGCTAAAGATCACTGCTAGAGAATGTAGTGTGGAGTTTTCTTTCTAGTATGTAGTTTTCAACAGAGTAGTCCGTCTTTCCTCTTTTCGTGGATTTTTTGCAAAAGAAAATCCCTCGTTCCTACTGCTTTAGGTTTTTAAACCAAATTTATTAGTATAACCTTTTAGATTTAGTGAAATAAAATATGTGTTTTGTTTATTTCATTTACTGTTCTGTTCATTTTGGTGCAACTTGGTAAGAAAAGGACTTGAAAAAGATTATCGTTTCTGAACTTGTATTAGACAGGCTTAGCTGCTCTGTGTATTGAAACTATATGTCACACAAGATGTTGGTTCTGTATGTTTTCTCTCTGTGTTAGATATAGGACATTTGTGTTTATGTGGTTTACTAAGATTATCATTTCTGACCTTGGCAGCTCTGTGCATTGTTTTTTTAATAAGTGTTTTTAGTTAAACAATTAGGTAAGAATGTCATTCCATGACAGATTTTTCTTGTTCTTTTTCATATCAGAGGAATTTGCAAAGATTAAAGATGAAGTCCCATCAGCTCTCTTGGATGCTCACATACGAAACGTTGAGGCGGCTGCTACAGACGGGAATGCCGACCCAAAAGCTGGACTCTCTGTTACAGGAATTGCAGGTACTGGTGAGAAAGAAGGTGAGCTTAAAGCATTAGTTTTGAACTGAAGTATCCAGAAAACAAAATTTTCTTATTCACATGGCTATTGATGCTACTTAAATGAGATTGTTTTTACAGTTGGTTAGAATGATATTATATAAACTCCCAGTAAATTAGAATTTCATATGAAAGTGTTGTGTTTAGAGATGTTTGTGTTTTGTTTGGAAGTGTTGTGTTTAGAGATGTGTGTGTTTTGTTTGGAAGTGTCATGTCTAGAGATGTGTGTGTGTTTTGTTTGGAAGTGTTGTGTCTGGAGATGTGTGTGTGTTTTGTTTGGAAGTGTCATGTCTAGAGATGTGTGTGTTTTGTTTGGAAGTGTTGTGTCTAGAGATGTGTGTGTTTTGTTTGAAAGTGTCATGTCTAGAGATGTGTGTGTGTTTTGTTTGAAAGTGTCATGTCTAGAGATGTGTGTGTGTTTTGTTTGAAAGTGTTGTGTTTAGAGATATGTGTGTTTTGTTTGGAAGTGTCATGTCTAGAGGTGTGTGTTTTGTTTGGAAGTGTCATGTCTAGAGATGTGTGTGTATTTTGTTTGGAAGTGTTATGTCTAGAGATGTGTGTGTGTGTTTTGTTTGGAAGTGTTGTGTCTAGAGATTTGTCTAACTAGACAAACATCGAAACTTGATTACACCTTCAGAGGTTACTTCAGAGGTAGTCATTAAAACCCTAAAACTTGGTCAGCTTGAGGTTAAAACCGAGGAATAACCTACATGTTCCATCTTTGAAATAACATGTATGTAGGAAGTCTATCTATCTAAAATAGCATATGGGGGCTGTTGTCCTGTCATTAAGTAGAGGGTCATTTGTCTAAAATAGCCAGGTTATGTGGGGCCATAGTTCTGTCTGAAAGTAGTGGGCCCTTTGTCTAAAATAGCCAGTGCAGGTGAGGCCGGTGTCCTGCCTGAAAGTAGTGGGTCCTTTGTCTAAAATAGCCAGTGCATGTGGGGCCGGTGTACTGTCTGAAAGTAGTGGGTTCTTTGTCTAAAATAGCCAGTGCAGGTGAAGTCGTTGTCCTGTCTTTAAGTAGTGGGTCCTTTT